AGTGTACATATTAGTACCTAAAAGACACAAACTAGTACCTAGTGTACATATTAGTACCTAAAAGACACAAACTAGTACCTAAAGTGTACATATTAGTACCTAAAAGGCACAAACTAGTATTTTAAGTGTATATATTAGTACCTAAAAGGGTGTACATATTAGTACCTAAAAGGCACAAGTACCTAAAGTTTATATATTAGTACCTAAAAGGCAAAAACTAGTACCTAAAGTGTACATATTAGTACCTAAAAGGCACAAGTACCTAAAAGGCACAAACTAGTACCTAAAGTGTACATATTAGTACCTAAAAGGCACAAGTACCTAAAAGGCACAAACTAGTACCTAAAGTGTACATATTAGTACCTAAAAGGCACAAGTACCTAAAAGGCACAAACTAGTACCTAAAGTGTACATATTAGTACCTAAAAGGCACAAGTACCTAAAAGGCACAAACTAGTACCTAAAGTGTACATATTAGTACCTAAAAGGCACAAGTACCTAAAAGGCACAAACTAGTACCTAAAGTGTACATATTAGTACCTAAAAGGCACAAGTACCTAAAAGGCACAAACTAGTACCTAAAGTGTACATATTAGTACCTAAAAGGCACAAGTACCTAAAAGGCACAAACTAGTACCTAAAGTGTACATATTAGTACCTAAAAGGCACAAGTACCTAAAAGGCACAAACTAGTACCTAAAGTGTACATATTAGTACCTAAAAGGCACAAGTACCTAAAAGGCACAAACTAGTACCTAAAGTGTACATATTAGTACCTAAAAGGCACAAGTACCTAAAAGGCACAAACTAGTACCTAAAGTGTACATATTAGTACCTAAAAGGCACAAGTACCTAAAAGGCACAAACTAGTACCTAAAGTGTACATATTAGTACCTAAAAGGCACAAGTACCTAAAAGGCACAAACTAGTACCTAAAGTGTACATATTAGTACCTAAAAGGCACAAGTACCTAAAAGGCACAAACTAGTACCTAAAGTGTACATATTAGTACCTAAAAGGCACAAGTACCTAAAAGGCACAAACTAGTACCTAAAGTGTACATATTAGTACCTAAAAGGCACAAGTACCTAAAAGGCACAAACTAGTACCTAAAGTGTACATATTAGTACCTAAAAGGCACAAGTACCTAAAAGGCACAAACTAGTACCTAAAGTGTACATATTAGTACCTAAAAGGCACAAGTACCTAAAAGGCACAAACTAGTACCTAAAGTGTACATATTAGTACCTAAAAGGCACAAGTACCTAAAAGGCACAAACTAGTACCTAAAGTGTACATATTAGAACCTAAAAGGCACAAGTACCTAAAGCTTATATATTAGTACCTAAAAGGCAAAAACTAGTACCTAAAGTGTACATACTTGTACCTAAAAGGCACAA